AAAATCTGACACGTGAAATAAAGCGTCTAGAAACAATCACTTTTAATGACATTGCGATAGTATCTAATTTTCTTTGCATTTGCTTTTGAAGTTGGTATTCACAGATATGCATAGCTTAGATAAGTTCCACGGTTTGCGTTTTACTTTGCTTTATAGAGGGCCCAGGTTACCCTGTGATTAACGAAGTCACGATGTCTGATCCAGAAAACACCAAAATGATCCTAGAGAAAGACCTAACAGTGGGATGGAAATTGAAACTTCACGCATGCAAAATGTTTGGAGAGTGAAGAGTACTTATCAATTTTTTGTGTGTTGTTAATACATCAGTATCTGTTTTAGCACATAATAGAAGATTTTTAAAATTTAACTAAGAAAATTTGTTTCTCAGTTATGAGAGATTAAAAAAAAAAGAAGTTGGTTCAGCAGGTGAAGTGCTTGCTATCAAAGTGTGAGGACCCGAGTTCACATCCTCAGAACTCTGGAGAATACTGGCTAGGAGTTTCCCTGGTACCAGGTTTCTCCCTGCCCCCCAAATGGCCCCTTCTCTCAAGATAGCTCTTCCATTACTCTCCACCCAGTCCTGCCCTCAACTCAAACAACTGATCCCTCATGTCCCCGACCCTACATCCTCTCTCCCCACCCCCCCATGCCCACAGTGTACCCAGGAACTCTCATCTATTTCCTAGGAATTCACAAGGATGACTCCAGCTAACATCCCTAGCAATAGTTGAGAGGGTACCCGAAATGGCCTTCTCCTGTAATCAGATTGGTGATATCCTAACTGTCAACAGAGAGCCCTCATCGAGTCACTGATGGAAGTAGGTGCAGAGGTCCACAGCTAAGCCCTGGGCCAAACCCCTGCAGTGCAGTTGAGGAGAAGGAAGAGGGGCTGTATGAGCAAGGGGCGGGGTCGGTCAAGATCTTGAAGGGGAAACCCACAGAGACAGCTGTCCTGAGCTAATGACCTGAGCTCATGGATTCTGGACTGACAGCTAGGGGACCTGCATGGGACCGACCTGCTTGTGAATGACAGTTGTGTAGCTTCATCCAGGAATCAGGACCTGTCCCCAGCGCATGAGTGGACTTTTTGGAACCCATTCCCCATGCAGGGGTGCCTTGCCCAGCCTTGATGCAGGGGGAGATGCTTGGTCCTGCCTCAACGTGATATGACATGCTTTGTTGACTCCCATGGGAGGCCTGCCCTTTTCTGAACAGAGGAAGAGTGGATGAGAGGGATAAAGGGAGGAGAGGGGAAGGAACAGGGAACAGGAAGAGAGGAGGAGGGGAATCTGTGGTTGATATTTAAAATAAATGAAAACAGAAAATCCTGATTGGTGGTGTGGGTGCACCCTTAATTCATGGACTCTGAAAGCAGGGTTAAAGGGAACCCTGGAGTCAGCTGGCTGTCGAGTCAGTCTAGTCTATTCAGTTACTTCTGGGTTCAGTTAAGAGAACCTGACTCACACAAGACACAACATATGCACACACACACACACACACACACACACACACACACACACACACACGAGAGAGAGAGAGAGAGAGAGAGACAGAGAGAGACAGAGACAGAGAGAGAGAGAGACAGAGACAGAGACAGAGAGAGACAGAGACAGAGACAGAGAGAGACAGAGACAGAGAGAGAGACAGAGAGAGATAGTACTGGAGTTGGCATTTTTCTTCGGGCAACCAACCATCTCCCAAATACAGACACACAGAGAAACTTATTATTAGTTATTAATTAGCTATGAATGCCCAGCCTACTAAGGCTTAGGCTTTTTCCACTAGCTCTTTGAATTTAATTTAACCTGTTTCTACTCATCTACATTTTACCTCAGGGCCTTTTTACCTTTCTTTCATTCTGTACGTCCTACATTCCTGCTTCCTCCCTGATTGCCTGGATGGCCCTGGGAGTCTCCCTGTTGTCTCCTTTTCTTTCTTCTTCAAGCCTAAATTTCCCTTCCCTGCCTGGAAGTCTCACCTATTCCTTCTACCTCACTTTTGGCCATTCGACTTTTTTATGAGACCAATCAGGTGCCTTAGGCAGGCAAGGTGAAACAGCAACACATCTTTACATAGTTAAACAAATGCAACAGGTCCTTTTATAAACAAACATTCCACAGCAGATTACTTCTGTATAGATATAGACTTTAGATATGTTTCTAAATAACCAATCTCGAATACAGTGCTACTTCTACCTCATCAAACGGGTCTCTTCTGGGATATCTCTAGGCAGGCAGTGTGCACAGGCACTGGGCTTGGTGGGCAGAGTCAACATTGTATCTCAACTTCTCTTGCATCTTAGTTTGGTCTCTTTAAGCACTGATTGCCAGCTGTACACAGACTCCCTATTCAGATACTTCAGTGGTAAAATGGAGTTCACTTTACAAGGTGGGTGAAGGGATTCCATGGACTCTGGTACACACATACACATAAGCACTCATGAGCATACAATATATTATATGAAATCCAGTGCTGGGCGTTTGGAAAGGGGGTGGCTCAGCGAGCTCCACGAGTATTATAGCAATAATCACAGATCCTCTCGTAAGAGACCCTCCTGGGAGCGGAACTTGGCAGTTGTTAATTAGACACCTGTTACAAACACTCCTCAGAAATGGCCCCGGGATGCTCGCATTCTGTGAAGCATGGCAACACTGATTTCTTGGAAGCCTTTTCTTAATTTACCAGACTTACAAATAGCAAGCTTGCAGCCTGTTCAGAGGGTTGGAAGCCCTGTTGCCTATACTCACAGGTGGCTGTGAGATGAGGTTGCTGCTGGCAGGGGATGGCAGCAGATGCAGGAAGCCATCACCATTCCACTAAGCACACCAGAGACACAGGCTGAGCCAGGGCTCTCTGCTCCCTTTGAACAGATTCACTCCCCCAAGTATTTGCTGTTTCATTATTTTTTAAAATTAGCTCAATATGTGTCTGTTTCAAAATATGTCTAATGACTACATTTCAAGTTTCACGGTTCAGTTTGACTTAGGAAGACTCAAATTATTGAAGTTGAGCGATTCAATTTTGTTCTCTTAGAGAAGGCGACTGTGTGTGTACTTTAATATGCACTGCAAACTCAAACACGGGGATGGGGGGTGTGTGCCTATATCTTTGCATTTGCAGAACTTCTCCTTGGATGCTTTTCTGGGCGTAGCCACATGAATAAAATTGTTCGTCTCCTTTAAGTCACTGTGGTTTGGTTTAATGGTGGTGATCCGTATGGTTTTATTCTAAGTGATGCAGGGAATGCTTGGAGGTTTCTAATGCTATGATCAGACTTTGGTTTTGAAGTCTTCTTCTTGAGGCTTCACTGTACATGGGCAGAAGAGCAGCATCTGGGAATAGTGCGTAACAGATCAGTGCTGCATATTGAGACAGCAGGTGATCATACTTGATAACCACTCATGTGGGCATGTGCTTAAATGTGCGATCTACAGTGGTACAATACTGAAAGCCATTCTTTGCTGCAGCAGGAAAGCCGCTAAGTGAGTGGTATTACTTGCAAAGAAAGTGGACTCCCCAGTATTCCATTTCAAGGAGATGATCGGGGATACCATCTGCTAGAGGCAAAACAGGCGTGAGATGCTAGGAGCCATGCAAGTTGGACCACCTGAGTCCTTAGTCTTTCAGGATGCTCAGCATAAAGTCCTGGAGTTTAAACGGGAGCTTGGGCCCAACCAAGTTAACGGTGTTTATTGGTTTCTGTTCCATTCCACACAGGATGTCATGTAGTCTTAGCTGTCTTGAAACTTGCTATGATGCTGCAGACAGACTTCGATATTTTTTGCTTCTGGTTTCTGAATGCTAGGACTGTAGGCATGCGTGATGAATGTGGCGCTAGCTATCAAATTCGGGACTTCCTGCATGCTAAGCAAAGGCTCTACAAACTAAGCTGCATTCCTTGCTTTGACTTCCTTTGCTTAGTGCAGATGTTCTCAACCTGTGGGTCTGGGCCTCTTTGGGAGTCAATTTTGACCCTTTTTCAGAGGAGGTCCCTAAGCCGATCAGAAAACACAAATATTTACATTACAGTTCATAAGAGTAGTAAAATTAAAGTTATGAGGTAGCAATGAAAATAACTTTATGGTTGGGGGTCACCACGACTTGAGGAATTGTATTAAAGGATCACAGCATTAAAGAGGTTGAGAACCACTGCTCTAATGTATCTTTAAAACAACACTGAGTTGAGAAGCATTTAATATGTATGATGTTCAAAATGTGGTATCAATATGAAGCTGATACTACTTCTTTTCTCTCATGTGATATCCACATATTCTATATTCAATTTTCTAAGAAATCAAACAATAAATAAAAGGAGATAATGAATAAAATACACCCCCAGTATTCAAAATACATACATGAAATAGTATAGAGATGTCTACCCATAACATTTTATGTATACATATTCTATCCATATATGCAAAGTGTTCCAATAAAAATTACATGAATCATTAGGGTGTATTTTGAAAATAGACCTGAATTATAGATAAGTAGGTCCTTATTCTACATTTTTTTGTCTTCATACATAGGAAGGACATTAGCTTTAAAGTACCTTTACTCTGATCCCCTTAATGTAGTTTCTAAGGGCATATTCTGGAAGGGATAAATAAGTTTTTTAAAATAGAGATATAAACATTTATACAAATGAGTTATATCTTTAAGATATTTTCTTAATTTGTTTATTCCTTTAAAATGCTTGTTTTATATACATCTTCATTGATTGGTTATGTTTTTGAGGCAAGGCCTTACATATGCAAACTGCTCTTGAACTCAATGCTTCTCCCTCTACCTTCCAAACCTTAACATTAAAGACACGAGTCTCCCCCACATCCTGGTTTCACTCTTAGACTAACAAATAATTATATATATTTTATGGAGTGCAATGGGATACTTTAATATTTGTGCATATCCTGGAATGATCCAATTAGGCTTATTCATGTCTGCATCTTAGATGCCTTCTTTTGCGGGGAGATAATTTAAAATACCGTCTTTTAACTGTTTAGAAATACAAGTCATCATTTGCTCCACTCATCAGCCTATGCCATAAATGCCTGAGATTTTGCTACCGTTGACCAACGCTGTTTACGAACACCCAACTCCACCCCTTCAGCTTTTGGCTACCAGTCTACAATCTACTTGTAGGAGTCGGGCTCTTTCAAGGTTGCACATGAAAATAAGATGCCATACGTGAGCGGACCACGTAAGTAAGTGAGCATTTGTCTTTGTGTGCTTAGCTTATTTCACTTTGCTTATTTTAAATCGAGGTAGTGTGGTAGTTTGAATGTCATTGGCCCCCATAATCGCACAGGGAGTGGCACTCTCCGGAGGTGTGACTTGGTTGGAGGAGAAGTGGGGGTGGGCTTTGAGGTTTTCTATGCTCAGGATGCCACCCAGTGTCTCAGTCGACTCCCTGTTGCCTACAGGATGTAGCACTCTCAGCTTCAGCACCACATCTGCCTCTCCACCGCCATGCTCCCTGTCGTGATAACAGCCCGAACCTCTGAAGCTGTAAGCTATCCACCCCAAATGAATGTGTTACTTTATACGAGTTGCCGTGGTCGTGGTGTCTCTTCACAGCAATAGAAACTTAAACTAAGACAGGTGGTGAATGTTGCCTGTTTTGGTAATTACTGTCTTGATCAATAGTTTTGGCGTTATCACTGTTAACATACATTCTTACAAACGTATTGAATGGCAGTGTGGCATGATGTAAAAGAATAATTTATTGGACAAATTGTCCATGTTGGCGGGTGAGGATTTATCTCCACTTTAGAGACCACATCCTTTGCTGTCTTTGTTGGAAATCCATTATGAAGTTGGATAATTTATTTCATGCTTTTGTGGTGATCTGGTGAGCATTGGAAGGGAATGGGATGCAAACTGTATACATTTAAATAGAAATCTGGGGGCTCTGAAACATCATGAGGTACCAGCAGACTTTGAGATTAAGGAAGTTTACCAACCTCCATTTGATAAAGGCTCAAAAGAAATCATATTTATTTACATCAGAATTTCAGTCTGAGAAATTTTTAGGATACATACATATACATATACATATGTATATATAACAAGAGAATTTCCATAGCAAATGCTGTGCACACTGCAAATTTACCCATTAGAAATTTATAGCACTTTACTTGAGGTCTATAAAAGCATTTCAGTGTCTTAGTGGATGGTATAATCTGCCATTGACCAGACTATTTGGAACTATGTGTTAAAAAGAAAAACATGCATGCAAATGTTTATTTAAAGTTTCTATTTTTCTTCCTCATGATATATATGTCATGATCCTGAGATTTTGTTCACATAAATAACCCTTTTGGGATCTGAGATCATTTTCAACACACATCATTTTGTTCTTAATTCTCTGACTTCCAAAAATACACAAAAGCTAAACTGAATTTCAAAATCATTCTACAAGGGTGGTCAACCCAGCTGTGCCCAAATTTTGTCAAATGCTTCCTAAGTATCTAAATCTGTTTTAACTGAAATCATCACATTCTGCATGAACTTTGATAAAGAAAAAAACCAAAACCACCCGGCTCTCCCAGCTCTCAGACAGCTGTCAGCCCAGCTCCAGAGGGATGTGAACACCAGCTCATGAGCATTGTTGGAAACTGTTGAGTGGGCAAAGTCATGGGAAATCATTAAATAATAGCCTAGATTTAATCCTGGATTGGAAAGTATGGGGGCATTATGTATGTTATGAGACTTGCTTGTGAGGTCAAAGCTCTGAAGTCAGGAAAGGAGGAGGAGGGTGGTCACAGGCCACCAGAAGGCTGAAGAGAACCAAGAAGCTGTGCTCAGGTAAGACTCGGTTTGTTCACGGATACAAAGGCCACTGAGAAGGCACCCAGGCACACGTTGGCACACATGTTGCACAAAAAAGACTACTGCACACGCACAGGCACCTACAGACCTACATGGGAAGGCTGCCAAAGGGAAAAGCATGAGCCTCTAACCTCAAGGCTTTGTTTATATAAAAATCACACAAAAGCAACATCTTGCCAGGAATAGTTATCTCTTTACTTTGTGTAGCTTCTGGGATTGATCTATCTGGGGTGGTAGGGAATGAAGGAAGGACAAACACTAGGATACAGAAAAACTGAGATCAAGCTAGACCGTAATGCGGAAATATTAAGCTACACAAAATAGGGATGTCCTATGATATTTTATTGAGGGAGAAATCACTTATGTGAGAAGCCAAGAAAGATGAGAACCAAAGGTCTGCACGCTGCTCTCTGGGCCCATAACTGGAACCCAAAGAGAGAAAGTTTCTTTCCCCCAGCTTCTTTATCCCCAGTACCTTCTACATACCTGTGACCACACCCAAGCAGGCATGGTCAGCACTACAGGTACTTAGATCTCTCTCTACAAGACTGGGTTCTCTGGTGGAGAAGCCACAGTACCCTGGAAGTTCAGCATCTATATTACACACAGGGAGACAGGGTAATTGCATACAGGTAATCAAGGCTGGGTTACTATACAGAGCTGAACAAGGGGACTGATTTACCTAATATCAGTCATAGCAGTCTCCAAATAGGAGTAGATTTGAGCCAAAAACAACCTGGAGGATGGGAGGCAGAGAAAGCTGTAAGTCCTATCAACATTTGCACATAAATAGGAGGAAGGTTTTGGCATCCCTCTGGGCCTCACTTGGGGTGACCTTGGTACTCCCACTATTCTGTGGCCTTAGGACCCTTTTGCATGATGTGCCTTTGTCAAGCAATAAGTACTCATTAAATCTCTGTAAGTTACGTAACAGATTCCATCACTACATGCCTTTGAATTCACTGAGTATCTCGAGTCAGCCATTTTTGCTCACTCTTATCCCCGTAGATGCCTATAGTCAGTCATCTTAGGTCATGATGAATACTCACGTTAGTCCCATGCTGCCTAAACATAAATTGACCGGTAGGGCCTTCAACACGGAGTGCCTTCACACATTTCATCTTGAGGTTTTAGTTCAGTGCCTTTCTCGTGTTTTTGTATCTGTTCGTACACCATGGGCAACTGATTCTTTGTCTGTTGCCATCACACAAATGTTATGAATGTTTTAGAGCAGGAGTTGCGTAAAATACGCCCTACTAAATTAGGCAAGCCCTAGGAGCTCTGAGAGCAGCATATGTTCCCAGTTTCCTACCGCTGGTGTCGTGCATGCGTTTGCTCTAAAGAATAAGTCCAGCTCATGGTTTCTCAGTAGACACCTCAGATTAAGATGTCAGGATGAAAGTATCTGCTTCAGAGATAATTTTTCACGTCTGCTAAATTAATCAACATTCATTGGAAGTCTACTTTGAGACACCTGCTGTGTTGCCGGTGACGCTGCTCGGACACCCCTTGAGGGAGGGGGTGAGAAGATTCAGCACCAAGGATGACACAGGCACCGGGAGTCAGTGAGTAGCAGAGCAGGCTGCAGACTCGTTCATTGAAGAAGTTAGATCTGACTTGATACCCCCTCCCTGGGTCCCATTGGCTCAGGCGCTGACTCTACGGTGTGTCCTTTCCTCATTGGTGTCTCTGGGTCAGGTGTCTCTGTGTCAGCATTTCTGGGCATAGAGGTAGGTTTGATTCAGGGAGGGAGTACCTGCAGCGCATGCTCATGCAGGCTGGCCTGGGCACCTGCGGCTTGGGTAAGCTGGCCACAGCTTCTCCTACACTACTGTACCTATGGCAGTGAAAACAGCAGCATCACAGTCTCAGTTGCTGCTGATGCAGGGGAGTTACTCGAATCCAACCTCATTCTCCCTCAAGAAATAGACTTTTTAAAGCCAGGGATAATGGCACAATTGTAAAGTTGCCTCAGTGCAGATTTGAGCTTTGTGAAGGAGTGTGTGTGCCTGTAACCTCCGTGTGGAGAGTAGGAGAAACGGGGATCCACGGTGCCTCCTGTCAGTCAGCCTCCGGAACAGATGACCCTGTGTCAGGAAGGAGAGTAGAAGAGGAATTGAAGGACACACCAAAGTGACCCTCTGGTCTCCTCATGTGCTTATATACACACGTACTTACACATACATATACTTACATAAACACACGCATACAGATACATCACACACACACACACACACACACACACACTCCACATAGATCTTATCAAATCAATAGACTCTCATGAAAGCTCGGTTGAATCAGAGAATCGCCCCCAAAGTTTCAGACTTGACCTAAGTGATGACTGTTGAGTTCCCAGTCCTAAATGGAGACATCGTTATCGGCTCTGCGTGTGCCTAGGGATCTGGGAACACCAAGGGGAAGGGGGTGAAAGGTTGGGCAACAGTTCTGCCATTGCTGTCACCTGGACACGACTTGGCCATCGCACTCAGGAGTTCACCGCAACTCTGGCCACTTGCACAAGGCCAAGGCAACAAGCTCAGTCAGCATTCCACCAGGCAGCACTAATTGGACTAAATGGGTTATTAAAACGGCAGAAAATGCATAAAGGGAAGATAGGAAAGGGTGTATTGGAGGACGGATGCCCAGAGATGTGTTAGGTGGAGGGGCTTGTTCAATATGATCAAGATATATTGTATAAAATTGTGAAAGCATAAGTGAAAAGATAGTTTTAAAATAAAATTATATCCAAAATTGAAAAAGACAGCCCTTGAGTCCTCTTCCTCAGTCTCTTTGTTGGAGCAGTCTGTCCCTGGATTTTCTGAATATTCTCCATGCTTTGCTTTTCTGAATTTCAGGAACCCTTGGTTTTAGGGCCTAATCTCTTAAGGGATTGGTTAAGGTGATCTCCACCTCATTCATTCCGTGAAGCCAAAATGGTTTGTTTTCTTACAGTCTCTTACCAGTAATGTTGATTTTCCTGGATATTTATTGTTTCTTCCCAAGAGAATATAAATTTCATGAAAATGAAGACTTTCTATGAAGGCAAACTGGTCTTATCCACCAGTATATAAAAGAGATACTTTAGTCTCTTTATAATCCTCTCTCCTGTTTCACTTTCCATTCCAAACAATCAGTATCTATTGTTGCCACACATTAATTTCCTAGAAATGCATAGAAACTAAAGCATATTAAGTCCTCATGCTATTTTCTGAGCAAAGTTATGTCGTTCCTCTTCAAAGTCTTCTTGTAACTATTTGTAGTTTTATGGAGCATAGCACTTGGTTGGTGGATCTTAAGAAATGTTTTGCATTAACTCAATGTCAAAAATGTTTTCTAGCATGTATATGGTAGACTTTTCAAATATTTTATATATTTAAAAGCTCCATTCAGGCCTAAGATTAATTTTGACATTAGGGCCTATGATTAATTTGACATTGTAGTATACCCTTGTGATTATATTGGTCCCACACAGATAATCCACAGCCTCCCCTTTTCAGTATCCATAGCCCAATCATATCTGTATTTTTGCATTTCAAGGTGTCTCACTCACAGGATCTTGTGGTTGAAATGCTGCATTCAAAGGGAAGGTATATGAGCAGATATACCTGGACCTTTGTATTATATGAATGACTGTCATGTCACTCTAAAATGGTTTAGCATGCTGAACCACTTAAAGACACGTGTGGAAAGATTAACCACTGACAAAAATGTT